CATCCAAGAACTTTTTGGGGCCCCTTTCTTCACTTTGCACAACTACCTTGTCCTGAGCAATCTCCCAGCCACCATGAGGAACTTCTTACAAGACATTGCTTCTAGTGCTAAACTTGAAGCTCTAAAAATCAAACTCATAAATTCCCCTTTTGAACATAATACATTTGTAATCTGTGGTCTTCCTATTGTCAATAGGCCCTAATCTAAATTTTGTTTTATACTTGCAACTTTCAAATGTCTCTATCCTCTGGTCCAAACCTCCCATTTTCATGTCTTTGGTGTTTTTTTCCTCCAAATGTTAGTATTTAAAATTTAATAGATGTTGGCTTACATGTGAATTTTAAATTTCATTTTACTTAATGAGTTGAACACTTGTAATATTGTTATAGAGTTGGCTAAAGGATGATTTAAAGAAAGATAAAAGTTAATTGCATTTGAATTTGTTTTATTTTCGAAGGCCTTAAATTCTCAGTTAATCTCAACATTTAAGTTTGGCTTACTTAGAATAGAATAAATATGATATCACATTTTCTTGCTCCAACATTAACCACAAAAATCTTTCATGTATTTCCAAAGGAATAAAACTTAAAATTGAAATTGCTTCCAAAACATTAAAAACAAAACTCTCAATAAAAATGATTCATTTTGGAGGCCATCAGCTAGGGTAGTGGTTACATCACTGGACTCCCACATAGCTCACCTAAGTTCGAGTCCCAGACCCAGTGCCTTGAAACTCATGCTGGGCATGGGTGCATGGGTGCCCAAGATCCCAGGAGGAGAAAGGAGGAGAAGGGATTGTGGCGTGGCCATCCTCCCTGGGGGGGCGGGGGGCTGGAGTGATTTCTCTTCTCCTCTCACTGTCTCTCTGTCTCTCTCTTTCTGGTGAGTGCACGTGCCCTATAGCAAAAACCTCTCTGAAAAAAAAAAAGATTCATTTTGTAGTTTTTTTGAAAAAAATACTAAGTTAATTATAATTATAGCTATTGTTCCTAAATATGGGAAAGATGAACATGGTATGTAATGAAACAAATAAGGTTAATGCTTCAAATATATCCATAGAGAATAGATGGGATAAAGTAAATACTATTTCTAGAAAATAAAGATATATTATTAAATCAGCAATTCACATGCTATAAATCTGAAGAACAGCTAGATATTTTTTACCTGGGCATTTTAAATCATTTTCTATGTAAGAAACACTTTGTTGTGTAAATGAAGAGAAAGCAGGATATCAGTTTGACTAGAATCTGATTTAAATTGGCAGATCATTTTCAGACAGAGACAACTTGATCGTAATATGGAAAACAGTCTGTTACAACCCTGTACTGACTAGAAACAGACACACAGACTCTAGCCCTGATTCTGCTGCTATGTAGTTCCATGACCTAGGTCAAATAGGGTCACATTTGCTGTTTCAGGTTTTTCATCTGAGAGATGAAGAGATAAGAGAGATGGACTGGTGATCTGTATGCTGCTTTAAGGAATAAGATTTCTGTAACTGTATGAGAATATTAGACTCATCCATTTACAAGCCATTGATACATCATTGATTCAATTCATTCTGATCTATTCATTAATTCTGGTCCCCCTAGAATGACTAGAGAAGGTTGGCTAGGTGATTTCCAATTACTCTCTGTCCTTCATATAATATAATAGCAGTTCTCTAAAAAGATTCAATACTCAGTCATTTCAGAGATTCAGACAAGCCTTTCTTCCAATTACCGTGGTTCCACTCTAATACAATTGCCTTAGAAAGATTGGATATATGCCCTGTAATCTGCTCATTAAAAAGAAAATAACTAATTTACTGGAACCTATAATAATTTATCAAAGATCCTACCTGTCATCAACTTGACCTTGTTCTAGAAGACGTTGCCCATCAATAATGATTGAGTGCAAAATCTGCTGACGACTGAACATCTCAGCTTGAAACAACTATAATTTCAACAAAAGAAGAACATACTTTAGAATCCCTAATTTTAGTGACCAGTTCTCTTACAACTTTGCAAACATTCTGGCTTTAGCAAGGTTATGAAATATATCTCTGGCTGAATCAGGGTATGAGTGAAATCCTGTAGTAAAAAAATCATTTATTTTCAAAATATGGGTTAAGATATACTTAAAGTTTCATTTTGGTTTATCAAAGCTAAATGACTGAAAGTAGAATTGTGTCTCCTTTCTTTCAAAAGCATTTGACGGTGTAAGTTAATGCACAATTTGTGTTCTGGTTTACTCCTTGTGCAGAATATGGTTCATATTCAGATTCAGAGAATAGTTTAGGACCTTTTAAAAAGCTGAAGAAAGAAAAACAGCCCTCACTGTCCCAGGTCTTTTTGTACTTACTTATTTCCTTATGCATTTACTTATAATGTCAGAGGGCTTGCACACAACCAAGACAGTGCAGTGAAAAAGTACCTCCAGTGAGGTTTGGTCATTCTGCAATGCCCTTTCCTCCCTTCCTCCTGCCTGTCAGGAACTTGGACACCTGTGTACAGGTACCTGTTATGTTTTTCAAACCCCTGGGTCAAGATTCAAACCTTGGTCTGGCACATGAGATCTGGCACCCTCCACAGAGTGCTTAACTACTACGCTACAGGGCTGGCCCTCTAGTCTTTTTGAACTTACTGTTTTTCAAATCAATCATGCTAATACAATGATTTCACCATTTAAAAAATATAGAAAGATCTTTTTAACTATATTCTCTGTTTTTTTAAACAACTCTGAGAGATAACTCATATACCCTACAATTCTCCCATTAAAATGTACTTTGGGCTAACTTGTGGCATGGCGTTTAAGGTGATTGATCCCAAATGGTCAACTGCATAGAGTCTCAGACCTAGTGGCTTGAAAAACATGCTAGGTACATGTGCATGCCTGCTCAAAATCCCAAAAGAAGGGAGCAAAGAAGGAGAGGGCATTGTGGCTTGACTATACCCATGGGGGATGTTTTCTCATTTTCTTTGTCTCTCTCTATCTCTCTCCAGCTAGTGTATGCACACCCTGGAACATTTAAAAAAATTAATTAAGAGGTCCAATTTAATAACTTCTATTACATTTGTAGTCTGGTGCAACCATTATTACAATCAATTTTAGAGCATTTTCATTATTACACATGCAAAGAAAATCCCAAAAATCTCTGAACTTCATTCCCCATTTCTTTCCAATCCTCCCAGCCCTAAGCAACTATTACCTATTTTTATGTCTCTATGGGTTACCTTTCTAACATGTCATGTAAGTGGAATCATGCATTCTGTGGTCTTTCCCTTAACATAATGTTTTCAAGGTTCAATCATATGAAAGCATGAATGAATCTCTCATTTTTCTTTTATAGCTGAATAGTATTCTATTATATGGATATACTACATTTTATTTATCCATTTGTCAGTTGATGGACATTTGATCTGTTTCCACTTTTAAACCATTATGAATAATGCTGCTACAAACAATATGCTTATAGAAGTTCTTGGGTAGCCACATATTTTAATTTGTCTTAATATTTTCATTTCTTTAAACTCTCTGTTTAAAACATTTCAGCAAAATACTTTAAAGTTAGTTTCATTTTTTTTGTTTGTTTTTAAATTCTGAATTCAGCTTTTCTCTGCTGGTAAGTTCCACCTCTCCATGTGCATTTTTTTCACAAACACATATAGCAACTTTATTACACTCACTACTAAACAGCAAAATAAAGACTAACGAATGGCAAACTAATTGCTTTACTTTTGTGTTTTATTTTCTCTCTGTTGAGAAATAATTATACTACAGTTTGATCAAGAGACATTTGATTGCTTGATTTCCTGGTATAAAATTCATGTAAATTCTTAAAAAACAAAATTTCATTTATCAAGACTTGATTGAAGACTTTCAGTCAAGCAGAGTATCTTAAGCAATTAGCTTTGGCAGTATAATTGTAATCAGTAACCCAATCTGAAAATTGTCTAACTTTCTGCACTGTGCTCTTTCTCATCCGTCTCCCACTCTCAGGAAGTAACCTTTAACCACAATTCTGATACTATGCATTACAAGGTATTGAAGCCTGATACGTGCAGAGCAGAGAACTAGACTAATTTTTGTAATTAAGATATTCAAACCTCAAGCTTAAGAGAGAAGGCAAAAGTGACTCATGCTTTGACATACTCAGCACAAAGTACAGCATTTTTTTTTTAATTCTCCCACATAGTGTTCTACAGCATCTTCCAGAAGTCTAAAACAAATTATTACCTGAAAATCTCCTGCTACAACTTACCTCATGCGCTCTCTGCTGTTCCAAAAGATGCTGATAATTTCCAGAAATCTCTACTGCTAACTTCTGTTCTGTTTGAACCAGGAATTCCATCCACGTTTCACATTTTTCCAAGAAGGTCTGATGTTGTAGCAAAAATGACTGTAACTTACTGATAGACCAAAGCACAAGGCATAATGGTTATTTTGCTGCTTATCTGATATCTCTAGCAAATAAAACTGGATTAGTGTCTGTTTCCAGTACTAAAACTTTCATGTTAGGTAGCAAAATTTACAAAAAGAAAGAAAAGAAAAATTGAAAAAAGATACAAGTTTAAAATTGTATGTTTTCTTAAAAGAATTATGCATATACATTTACCATAGTCTTACTTAACAGAATTTTTGTATTTAGTACATTAAACAATTCAAATTTCTAGTTTCCATTCTAATTTTGATAATATTTATAAATATTGACAATATTGCATAATTTTGACAATATTATATAAACATACAATGTTAAGCATACACATTTGTGTATATTAATATACACAATGTATAAATATACACAATTTATAAACTTACATTCTACTGCAATATTGGTGTAATGGTTTGAATGTATGCTCTCTCAAATTCAGAGGTTGAAACTTAAAGGCCAATGTGATAATATTATGAGGTGGCTCCTTTAAGAAGTTCCTTTAGCCCAATAGGGCTCTTCCTTGTTAATGGGACTAAGACCTTGTAAAAGAGCATTCAAATAGGGTTGAGAACTCTTGTCCTTCCATCTCTCAGCACATAAGGACACCACATTCCTCTGCTCTTGGAAGACACAGTAAGAAGGTGCCATTCTGGAAGCAGTGAGCAGAACTCCCTGGACAACCCAACCTATCGGCACCTTCATCTTGGACTTCAACCCCGAGAACTGTGAGAAAACAAATTTCTTTTCTCTGTAAATTACCATCCGTGGAATTTTTATAGCAGCACAAACCAGGTGAAAATAATCTGAGTGACCAAAGCATCTCCATAATCTCTACCTGAATCTCTCCGTAGTCTGAGAGGAGATGAGAGACCAGTGGCGGTTCAGGCTCTGCATCCTTTTGATTTCTTTATCATTCAGAGGTAACCTGTATCCAAGCTCGTTTAGACGGTCTAAATCTGGCGCCATGCTGCTGAATTTTAACATCTGTCCCTGAAAGAAAGATTTAAAAGCATGTTTATCATCATGGCCAGAAAAAGTAGGGCTTTTTTCTTTTATTCTTCTTTTTTATTTTTTTTTTTTTGGAGAGGTTTTTGCCATAGGGCACGTGAGCTTGCCAGAAAGACAGAGACAGAGAGACAGAAAGCGAGAAATCACCCCCCATGGGGGATGGCCACACTGCAATCTCTTCTCCTCCATTTTCCTTTTGGGATCGTGGGCATGCACACACACGTGCCCGACGTGAGTTTAAGCCACCAGGTCCCGGGACTGGAACCGCAGTCGACTACGTGGGAGTCCAGCGACATAGCCATTCACTAACTGCTGGTACCAAAAGGTAGGGCTTTTTCAAAGTAAATAGTGAACTTCTGATTTTAGGAAGAAGCTGGTCTTCGGTCTGCTGTGTATTTCTCCACCATTTACGGGCCATCTCCAGATGCACAAATAAAGATAACCTGTATCTCCTATTCAGCTTGCATTGTGGCTACTGCTACTGCTACTAGAATACTCATTATTTTTTATTGAGTACTTAGTAGGTTACACGTATTATCTAATTTACTGGATTTACTTACTCAGATATAATTCTTTTTTATTTACTTAATATATTTATTATTACTACTATTATTTAATTTGCTATATGGCATGCATGCTCATCAGAGAGAGAGAGAGAGAGAGAGAGAGAGAGAGAAAGAGAGAGAGCAATATGCCAAGAACAAGGAGAGAGCAAGCTGCCAAGTCCAGGACTCAAACCTCAGTCAACCATGTGGAAGTCCAGCACCCTAACCACCATCCCACCTGCTGGCCCCAAACATAATTCTTGATAGTCCTGGCTAAAGAATTAAAATTATGCTAATGAGGAAAAGGGCTTATTTCTTACCTTTTATATTTAATTTATTCATGCTAATCTCTTTATTACTCAATAATAATAATAATAACTTTAACAGTGATAACTAACATTTATTGAGCACTTACTAGGAATTGCATTGTTATAGGAACTTGACAAATAATACGTTAAAAATCCTCACAATGATCCTGTGAGATAACCCTTTACAAATGAGGAAAGGGAGGCCTAGAAATCAAGTAAACAGTTCAAGGCTGCCCAGTTCATACATGATAGAGCTAGAAAAGCCACAGTTGCTGAGCTCTTGCTAGATGGGATATAATCTCTCCTGAGTTTGGGAATGACCATACGTGAGACCATGGGTGGCACAGTGGTAATGGAACTGAAATGAGCACACATTAGCCTTAAGAGCTTCAATTTAGGTCCTGACATTCAGGACCTAAAAGTTGGCGGAACTCAACAAAAAGAGCAGCCTATGTTTCAGATCTCTTTCCTCTCTTCAAACACAGGACGAAGTTGTCTGACCTGGTTTTCCCATAGGCATTCTTAGCCTCATGTAGGAAATTAGCAACAGGAAGGAGAAAATGTTAGGATGCCTTTGGCTGTGTGTGTGTTTTCTCTACACATTCTCTGCAAAAGGTTCGTGATCTCCGGGGAAAGAATAAATCTTCCCAATCATTGAAGCCAGACGGCAGAATAAGAAGACAGAATTTCCATGGATGGATCAGCACTGAATAAAATTGACATGACCTGGTCTTTCTCCTCATGGAACTTAGAATAAGACATCAAACCAAGAGCAGAGGGTATAACAGGAATCACCTACTCACTTGGACATAGTTAAATGATACAAGAAGTGTGGTAGAAAAGAACAGTGTGCCGTTGAAGTGTGCATGGAGACCTTGGTCCTGATGGACAGTGGAGGCTGTCCTGAGAGACTGAACAGAACAAACTGAACTTGTTTCTTTGGAGGAAACGAGAAAAGAATTCCAGAAACTTCACGTGCATAGACACTGGGAAGCACTGTGGCTCCCTAGGAGCTGGTGACAGAGGTGAACGGCAGTGCCAGATGGGACATGGGCCAGGTGGACACCAAGATACGCTGGACTGGATAAGCCATGTTGGTCTTTAACCTAAGAGCAGTGGGGGACCACTGAGGGTCTTAATCAGAGGAATAGCATGCTAACATGTGCATGTCTATGGTGTTATTGCATTTATTTTATTCAATGTGTAAAACAGACTATAATTAGAACTACTTTTCTTTTAGTTGGCATTTTAAAAATTTATTAGTCATTTTTGATTGACAAATCATTACAGTATATGTTTATTGGGTACAATGTGATGTTTTTATCTATGTATACAATGTGGAATGGTAAAATCAAAATAATTATATAAAACCTTTTAGGACCAGCAGATTATGTAATGGTTACATTGCTGGACTCCCACATAGTCGACCGCAGTTCGTGTCCCGGACCCGGTGGCTTAAAACTCACGCCGGGCGCATATGCATGCATGCTCAAACTCCCAAGAAGAGAATGGAGGAGAAGGGATTAAGGCATGGCGATTTCCCCCAGGAGGTGATTTCTCTTTCACTTTCTTTCTCTCTGGCGAGTGCATGTGCCCTATAGCAAAAATATCTCTTAAAAAAGAAAAAAAAAAGTAAAAACTTTTAAAAGAAAAAGATCATTCTGGCAGCCAGAGAGAGTGTAGGTTGGGAATGTTTGGGGATGAGATCTCTGGGACACTGCTGCAGTGGTCCTGAAAGAACCAGGCAGCTTGAACTAGGAGGGGATGATGTTAGAGACAGAGATAGGAAGCTCAAAAACTGCCAAAGACATGATTGATTGGGTATAGGGAGGTCTGGAGGTGAGGAAGAGTGAGGCGGTTTCTTGAATGGGCCCTGGTCACCCTCCTATCCTGGGCTGGGGTGAGCTTGTGCTCACTGCCAACACACGACACTCGTCAGGAGAGTGGGAAGCAAAGCTGACAGAATTTCCCTGTGAGCCAGAAAAAAGCAGGTCTATGTCAATTTTGAGTTTTCCTTAAGATTTTGAAGACAAGATCAGGAGCCCAGATTTGAACACACTTACTTTAAGTTCTTCCATTCTTTCCTGGATGGTGGAGAGGTCAGACGAGTGCCTGGGGTCTTGCCCTTGGAGCAGGTCCTCAGCTTCCACTATCCAGGCCTCCAGAGCTTCTAAACTCCTGGCAAAGGTTTCGTAGTCAAGGACGCCAGCCTTTTTTCACAAAAGAAATAGATATTTTAGTGAAAAATACAGGCATTTTAATGAAACCTGCTGAAAATCAAGTGGATATTAAAAATATTTTTTAGGGCTGGAAGGTGGCATGGTGGTTGAGGGCACGACTCCCACATGGCTGACCGTGGTTTGAGTCTCAGACCTGGTGGCTTGCTTTCTCACCCCCTCCTACCCTCTCTCTCTCACTCTGTTTCTCTCTGGTCAAATTAAAAAAAATAAATAACTTAATTAAATAAAATAATAAAATTATTTTTATATTCTTTCATTAAATTGTCACTCTCAACATATACCATTTCTTTAAAAAAAAAACCAAAGATATAAGGATTTAAATTTTCTTTTGTTGGATCATTGGTCAAGTCATGACACACTGTTGAATAGAAAAATAGAAAAATACATTATGACTTTCGTGACAATCTAATATATAATTTTTCTAAAAAGTGGAATTATTTATGTATCATTAATCAATAACCAATTAAAAGTTTTGAAATACATTATCAAACAACATGCTTGAAAAATATTCTTATTTTTGTGAAAACCTAAGTCATATAAATAGGAATATTCATAGTAAGGCCATTTAGTGTTCATTAATTGAATGTTCCACGGAGGCAGCCGTTGTTTTATGGGCTTGCTTCCTACACAAAATTTTAGATTGCATTGCAGAGAACAGTGACGTACTCCCACTTTTCCTTGTCCCCACTGGAACTTCCAAGTTTAATGTTTAATTCTTTGGTCTTGAAGAGGGCATTGTCTCAGTGATGAAAAACTGATTCTGGCATTAGTGCCTGGACATTATAGAACACCCAGCTGACACACAGGCTGGACGTGAGGCTGGTCTTGGTCATACCTGCAACATGGACTGCTGTTTGCACAGCGCCTGCTCTAAGGTACACAGATGCTGACTCAGAGACAGCTGATCAGACTGAATGGCTGAGGCCGCTGAAGCATCCACTTGCTGTTTGAGTTGTTCTCCTAGTTCATGGAGAACAAAGAGGGAATCCTTCACTGTCCTCAGTCCTTTGAGAAGGTCCTATAGAGGAGGAAAACATGCACATCATGAAACAATAGGAATAAACACACATCTCAAACATGCAATTCTTATTTATCGAATTACTAGGTTAAATAACCTTCACCTGCAGAAAAATAATCAAGAATCAAATCTAACTTTTAAGAATATTATGAATTGAATGCCAGCTCCCTAGCCTAGCAGTTAAGGGAGCCAGATACCGCATGGTCAAACGGGGTTTGAATCCCAGTTCTGGAAGCTTGAAAAACATGCTAGGTACATAAGCATGCATGCTCAAAATCTGAGTGGGTGGGAAAATGCAGAGAGGCTCACAGCTTGACCATATTCTACTGGGGAGTACTTTCTCTCTCTCTGTGTCTTTCTTTGGTAAATGCATGTACACTATGGCAATCAAACATATATACACATGTAAATATATGTATATTGTATATATAAAGAGAGATATGAGGAAACTTCAAAAGGTTTGTGGAAAATTAAGTTAAAGTATGAGTTTATGTTGGTGCAAATTGTTTTCGAAATTCATGCAGTTTTTTCATAATGTGTATTTTAAATAAACTTTTTAGAGATTCCCTGGTACAGTTACTTCTTTAATAATAAAAGCCACATAAGCTCATTATAGAACATTGAGGAAATGCAGAAAATAGCATATAAAAAAAACCATGATTCATAAGTAGAACCAATGACTAGACACATTTTGGTGGCTTTTTCCTTTCCCTTTAGGCAACTGATATCCAAAATAACTGAAAACACAGCGCTCTGTTTCACCTTTTTCTACTTATTATTATATGCCCCAGAGATTAGTTGTCAGTGTTTCCTTCCATATGCTGTGTCACATTACTGTAGTCACAACAACCCCTCTATCTCAGCGGGGTATGGAACCCGGTAGTGATTCTGGTGAAACAGGGGTGAGAGCAGTGTGCACCTCTATTCTCTTCTATGGCACTTCTTGCCTCCACTTTTTGTGGAACCCTAGTTTATGCTCAAAAGTATGAGCCAATGGAAGCTCCCAGCTCTGCTCTCTATCTGCTAGTAGAAGATGAGAAGTGATGGCTTCTTCTCTCAGCTGCAGGTCCCTGCTGGAAAGCAGCCAGCTATGCCTGCGCAGTGACTGCTGTGGGAGGGACAACAAATGGCTCCTCTAACCTTGACATGGAGAACAGACAAGGCCTATCTCAAGTTGGGAGGCTCCACTGAGAGTGACAGACCTTGTAAACTATAAACTATATGGACAACCAAAAGAGCGGTATTATCATTATTGTAAATAGTCTTTAGCTTTAAAGTGATTATGCATGCAGGTGGAAGGTATGAGACTAGGTTACACTCCTGTTTATGTAATTTTTATAGCTCGCCTAACTATTAAATGGATTTGGGAAAGTTTATAAGAAGATATCTGTAATGAGTTCATCAAAGTGAAGACAAATAAAGACAAACAGTAAGAGCTATGTAATGGATGAAATAAGAGAAGAACTGTTCCTGAAAACCTTAAGTGAGTTATTGGCAGCTGCAGTGAAAACGAGAGTTATTAAAAAGCTATTAAAAAGAAGTACACCCATAAACTAGAAGAGGGAGACTTCTTTTGACCATTAAATTCTTAGTAGAAACTATTGCATAGCTGCTCACATTGGTGATAATGACCCTAAAAGGCTATCTTCATTGGCACAGTTCTAAAAGATACATTATTCCTTATATGTCATTTCTTACATCAACCATCTCAGTCAAAACGATCTAAATTTTTCTCATGGATTATATTTCATTAGGAAAAAAATGGAAACTTAAGAATGAAATGGAGAGAGAGAACCTCTACAATCTCATGCATGTGTGGCTATGTTGTGAAAATCTCCTTAATGTGTAAAACTATTATTTTTGCGGGGGCTAGCAGGTGGCATGGTGATTGAGGCACTGGACTCCCACATGGCTAACTGCAGTTTGAGTCCCAGGCCTGGTAACTTGCTTTCTCACTTTCTCTCTCTCTTTCTCTGTCTATCTCTGGTGAGTGCAAATGCCCTATAGCAAATTTTAAATAATAATAATGATAAATAAAATTAAATAAATAATTATTTAAAGAAAGACTACTATTTTTTGAATCTGTAGTATATATTGAGACAAACTAAAAGTTCACACATGCCCACACTGGCCTTGCTAAGCTTGAGAAGCCTAGCAGTGGGGCGCTAGGGAAGACAGTCACTCCTGAACCTACGTTGCAGTCTTGCATCCACGTAGCAAGTTCATCATCGGCGATGTCCTTGTTGGCGGCGGCCTTCAGCAGCTCATTGGTTCGGTCCTCCTGCTGCTGCACTGCAGAGGCACACTGTTTGGAGTAGTCTTTGTATCTCTGCCACAGCTGCAGCAGGGCCTTGCTGGAGTGCAGCTGCTCAGCGATCTCTTCCAGTAAGTTATTCCATCTGGGAATAACGGCCAGACTCATGAGTATATTACCACTCCCCCAAATGCTATTATTCACTATTTTATTTTTCATGATCTTGGCTCATGTGAGTATGAAAATAATGTGCAGATGACTCATTCCATTGATCGCACTAAAAGATAACATTTCGGGTCAGGTGGTGTGGTGGTTAAGGTGGTTATGGCCGAGTAAAGGTTTGAGTCCTGGACCTGGAGGCTTAAAAAACACTCTTTGCGTGTAAGTTCAAAATCCTGAGAGGGGAGTGAAAGAGAATGGACTGCAGCATAGTCAGCCCACCTTGGGATGGTGCTGTCTCACTGTCCCTCTCTTTCTCTTCTTCTCTGGCTCTCTCTAGTGAGTGCATATGCCCTATAGAAAAGTTGCAAAAAACATCATAACATTCATATTTCAAGGATAGACAATGGGGATAAGGGCAAACTTTAGATACATAACAGTTCTAATTTCTTCTAAATATCTTCACTTTTATTTATCACCAATATCATTTGTGAAATTTGAAATATTAGTAGAATAGAATCTACAAAGTTCAAATTACACATGCCAAGAAGTTTTAATTAGATCTATATTTATAACATGACTGTGCTAGAAATAGCATGTAGAGTCGGCATACCCCATACCTCATATTGACTTCCTTCAGTGTATTGGTAAGAGTTTCTGTTACAGGTGGGTGACACTCT